CCTGTAGCTTATAAGTCATGAACATATAATATCAAAACTCCAAGTTTTTCCTCTAAACATGATATCCATCATATTATGGATCACAACTCACAAACAGTCTCGGCTACTCCCTCCCTCCCTCTACCCCCCAAACCAAAACCTTGCTTTTTTAACACCCAAAGCTGATTGACTTCACTCACCCAACCCACCACACCAAAGGACCCTTCCCTTCCTCTAACCACGCTGCCCCTCATCATTGGGCCGCAATGTCCACGAGGGGAATTATTCGCCCCCAGTGAAGCCAATTGCCATGAGGGTCACTCTATTGGATGGTGTTCCTTTTAGCCGAATGTGTCGAGGATCAGAGCGGGAGGCGAATGGCCCATTGGTCTCATTGGGAAAAGCAAGATTCGTGACTGTGGAGGATGACATTATGCCGCATATGATGTGACGGGTAACGGTGAGTGAGGCTCTGACTCGGCAGATGTTTTTGGCCAACTGGACGTTTGTAATTCGAGTATCATCACGATAGTCCCATGTTGGGCTGTATTTGTACAATGCGCCGAATGACCCATGATGACCAAGATCGAGCTATAGACATTGGTCGACTCATGTATCTCTTACTTGAGATGAAAATGCAAAAGTTGCGGTCTAATAAACTATCATCATCTTACAATCAAAACCCAAAAAACACGTTACGCAAGCTAGGAACAGGTCTAGTCAGGAACATATTGGCATATTCATCCAAGCCTTCTCCAACAGGCTGAGACTTATTAGAATGACATCAGGGTTCGTCAGCAGCCTAGCAATATGAGTGGTAGTCCTCAAAGTACTTGAAATGGGTTCATTTGAGCCTAGTAAGAACGTACAGGAGTAACAACTATTCCTTCAGAGCTCCAAAACAGCAAAAACAACAAATATGCTAGACGGCGTCCTATCAGACGCCAACGCCTACGCCCACAGTAAGATATGCTCTCACCCATAGCCATTGCACAGTTTCCATTCCCACTCCCCAAACATTTACGCCTTGTACAAGATATCTAAGAATCCACTCGCCAGATCAACAACAACACCCTTGTTGGGCAGTGAGCCGGCAACACCGTACAGGGCTGAGGAATCACCCATAGCCTTGCCATGGGCACCCTTGCCTTCGACAAGACGAACACGCTCCTTCTCACGCTCCTCTTCGACAACAGCCTCAAGATCAGCGATGAGGTTCTCCCAGACTTTCGAGATGGGCAAGGTAACGGCAACGTGGATGGCAGGAGGGTCCTGAAGAGAGTTGAGGTGCCATCCCTTGGCACTCATAGCATCGGCAATATCGTAGATGTTCAAGTTGCGGGATGTGAAGGCAACGACCGAAACAAGAGGTCTGCCAATAAGCTCGAGCTCGCCGCTCAATGGCGAAGACTGAATGGCCTCGGCGATCTTCTTGGCGGTTCCCACGATCTTGGTGCAAGCGTCAATGTATCCGGCCTCACCAATAGTCATCAAACTAGCCCAGCAACCAGCGATGAGAGCACCAGGACGAGAACCAGCAATACCTGGAGAAGCGTAGACACCGCCAGACCAATCAGGACAAACAAAGTACTGGTACTTTCGAAGCTCGGCGGTACGGTACAGGACAGTCGAGTTACCCTTGGGGGCGAAACCATACTTGTGAGTATCACAGCTGATACTGCTAACACCCTTGAGCCTGAAATCAAAGAGCTGAGACTCGAAACCGGCGCGCTCAAGGAAGGGAACCAAGAAGGAACCGAGACAGCAGTCGACGTGGAGCCAGAGCTTCTTTCGCTGAGCAAGCTTGGACAGAGCGACAATGTCGTCCATAATACCGTGCGGGAAGTTGGGTGCTGAGCCGACAAGCATAACAGTGTTGGGGTTGATCAGACGCGAAACAGCCTTGACATCGACCTGGTATTCAGGAGCAGGGCAAGCGACGAGGTGAATCTTGTAACCGAAGTACTGAGCAGCCTTGCGGAAGGCAGTGTGGCCAGTATCGGGAAGAATCCTATCACAGCTGGTCAGTCTTATTGGTCAATGGCAACCTTGCAGCTTCACTTACATCTCAGGCTCTGTAATTCCACGTTCGTTATAGGCTTGTTGACGAGCAGCCAGACAAGCAGAAAGAATACTGTCAGTTCCTCCACTTGTAGAAGCACCCGCAGCACCAGGAGGAGCATGGAAGATGCTCAAGACCATGCTCACAACCTCGGCCTCCATCTTGCGCACACCAGGAAAGACATCAGGATGGATGGGATTGGCAACAGTGAACTTGCCAAAAGCCTCAGTCTGGAGCTGCATCAGCTCATCCTCTCCGTGGTACACAGCACCAGAGACATATCCATCCTCCCAGCGGGTATGATCCATGTTGGCGAGGTTCTCGAGCTCGGCGCGAACTGTATCGATAGGGAGGCCATCTTTTGGTAAGGAGAGGTAGCGAATCTGGTCTTTGGGAACTAGCTTGTCGGATAGCTTAACTAGAGATTCCTGGACCTGCTGCTGAACCTTGTTTCGCACGCCTGGAGCTCGGAGGAAGTAACCGTAAAGAATGCGACGAATGTTGACGTAGAGCTCGACAACGGAGCCGACGATTCCGCGACCACGGAGCTGCCAGAATGCGCGACGACCCCATCGCCAGACAAAGAGGAATAAGAGAATATTGCGTAATCTGAAGAGTAAAGAGACATGATTAGCATTAGATAGATCAATTGATAGGCCGTGGTGGGCTTGTGGGGTTGTATAGAAGTGGTATCATGACTTACAGATCGAGGTTCAATAAAGGCCAAGAAACATTGTGTCTTCCACGAGCAACACTCTCAATACCACCACGCAAACCCAGGGGAAGACGGGACAGGGTCCCAATGTGAGCTTGAGAAGTCATGATTAATTAGTTTCCAAAGTAAAGCAAAAGATGAGAAGCGATAAAGAATGACAAAAAATCCGGGGAAATTTTGGAGAAGAATTGGCCGTGTTATAAACACGAGCTCGAAGAAGGAGCTTGACGTCGTTTATCTCCAAACCAATATCGCGGGGCATAGCCAGTACTTGGATATTTTTTAGCGCCATCTCAGCACCCGTCACATGCTTGGCGGGGACGCGGGCTCCGCGGGAACCCTTACCGTTAGCCTCTAGCCCCTAAATTTATAGCGCTTGAACCCTTTCAAGGCGTCCGACTCTCCACTGAAACGGATCGTGGGCCGAAGGATCCCTGTCGACGCCGTAATTGTACATGAGCGGTCGCAGTTGGAAGCGATTGTCTCGTTCACAAAGTCAAGTGTTTGTGGTCAACTACCTTTTTTGGGCTATAACCCCGCTGCGAGATACGACTCCTCGAATCTGGAGATTTCGCATTCGGTCGGCAGAGCGAAATACTTGGCCTGAATCGTGGGGCGAGGGTTTCATCAAGAGCTTTGATACTCGACATACAAAGTCTATTCGGGATCCGATTCTCGATACTGCATGGATATTCATGTCTACTAGCTCGGATAACTAATGAAAGAGCTTCAACTATCGGTGGACGATACCCCGCGGGTTCCTATTGTTATCATCCAGTCAAGTGACGAATGAAACAAAGCAGACTTACACTCGCACTCGCACTCGTTACTATTTCCCTCATGTACCATATCTTTTAAACTGTTTGATCTATGATCCTTTTAGTGAGGCTGATGAGAACTTAACCTTGTAGATACCACTAAAGAGGTCCCAGCTTCTTTACGGTGATTCAACTGCGGCACGTTCTAGAATCAGAACATAAACTCTCTAACCCAGCTTGTCGTCATACCATCTAAATTAGACGAGATGAGACTTCATAGATTACTCCTAGGTTCTCAATCCTGATCTCGTGAAGCAGCATACGTTTAGTGCATGTGCTGTACGAAGTAATATTCACCATCTATCTTATCCCAGTTTCTCCACATCACTGTTTGACGTCGAAGGGAAATGACGGGGAATTTTATAATGAAATAAAAGGTCAACCGTATGACCTCAAGACTTCAAGTCCTCAACGTATTGATATCCATCCTGCAGATAGAACATGTCCAGATTCATATAAGCTAAATTCACCAATAGTGACCAACTAACGCCAAGAAACAAGCCTATGGGCTTTTCCATCTCCAATCCTATAAAAGCCCTCCAAGTCTATCACAAAACGCCCAATGACCTCACTCAAATGTCGTGTTCATTATGCTCATTGCAGCTTCTTCACGCTGGCATCGCCAAACTTGTTCTTCAGCTGTTGCAGGTAGAAATGCGATTGCTTGTCACATGATGCCGGGCCTGTAACTGTGCAGTCGACCAAGAGTGTGACAAAGTCCCCGTCACGGTACGCATTGCCTTCCTTGTTGCGGCCATATGAGGCAAACGTGCGTTGGGGGATGAGCGCAAGCTTGGAGAGAATGGTAGGGTGCCATTGGACAATATGTTCCTTTACGAGGTTAGGTCGCGTTTCCCGGCAGATGACCTCAGGGTAAAACTTACAAGCGCATGTCGCTCGGCTTTTTGGAAGTTGTAGCTCTGGTATAGAGGGTCCATCCATGTCTCGATAAAGAACTTGGCCCATTCGCCGTTCTTGAGGATGTAACTGTTAGTTACCAACCCTACTTCGTCTTGGCTGATGACAAGGCCTGCATCTTCACCCTTGAGGTGGGAAAATGTCTTAATGATGCTGTCCGGCGGCACTATAGACCAGTCCTTAATCATTAGGCTTTCTAGTTTCGCCGGATTCACCACCTGCTCCTCTAGCTTCTTGTCGAGCTCCATAATGTAAGCGTTCTGGTCGAGGTACCAGACATAAGTGGCATCGGGGTATTTTGACAGCGCATGGCGCATCGCGATAATCTTGGCCCAGGATCGTGGGGATTTGCCAGTATCATAGTCAGATGCTGGTACAATCATGGCTTCATATCCTATAGTATGTCAGCCTCATCCATAAACAAGCCTCTCACGGCTTCCCTACCGTTTCTTGACGCATATTGCTCTCGGTTGTGTCGAATCGATTCTAAATAGGCTTCGTTGTACTGTGTAGTGTCCAATAAGGTCACAACGACAACGGGGGGATTGCCTGACGGAACATGTTCGCGGTATGGTGTTTCGCCTTTTAGTCCAAAGAGGAAAAATATAAATCCAATAGCTCCAAGGAGGAGTAAAAGCGCTGTTCTTTTGCGGATTCGGCGCAGAATTGGCGGTATTTGCGACGAGCGCTGCTTGAAAGGTGGTGGGTTGGAGTTTTTGCGAGGGGGGTATGCGAAGTGCATCTTGGGCGATTGCTCAGTCGAATCAAGTCAGAGATAGTATAGTATAATTCGCGAATGAGGTCAGGATAGCCTCCTTGACATGGAAGCAGTTAAAGCGACCCCGTAGACTAGGCGTTTGTAGATCGTCCGTTTCGCGAAGGGAGAACAGGTTCTTGTGTAACTGCGAGAGCGGGCAGCCGTTAATACCGAATTCAAAAGAGGAACCGTGATCGCAGCAAGTATCGAAGAAGCGAGCGAGGGCGAACAGTCTGGTCCGCAGCAAATGGAGGAGCTAATCAGGAAGTCATGGTCGGCGCACTTGGGAGTTGATGATAGATGGCTTTTTGGAGCGGCTGAATTCATGAGGCCCTGGCCCACATCCAATGCTGAGCTACCCTACCCGTATTTCAATGGCAGGGGTCCAGTCATTCAGAACACCAAATTCCAACGTCATCTCGGTGTCGGGGCCATAAAAGTCCGACTTATAAGACATGATAAGGTCGAAAAACATGAACTGACAATACGATGAATTCGTATTGAGGTGAACTAAATATAAGCTGTCATTTCCCTGATCAGGCCATTATTGAAGCCGCAGCGTAGAAGCTAAAGATTACCCAGTCATTGTTGCCGATTGTTATCCCGAGATGTTGGAAAGGATATATGTATTCTATGAGTAGGGTACAACGGAATTGACACTGACAAGAGAACACTTAGCATGGTGATGAAAGAGACAATAATTGATTATAACGACCACAGTAGAGGTCTCGTTTATTCATGATACATAATAATACAGGTATGTATCAACCAACATTCGACAATCTGCTCACTGCTTCTGTACGAGGGTAGTGTACCCAACAGATGTCTCACACCGTTATGAACGCCCGAAAGCATCACGATGCGTGAATGAAGGTTGATAATCTCATGCTGACCAGCGAGCAAAGAGCCAAAACGGTTCTCGCCCAAGGCGCAGCAGAGCGTAAATCTTTGCACACAGACTAGTTGACTTGACAGGGAAGAGCAAGATCTAGGCAACTTAAGAGTGTGCAGATACATACACGATGAAGAGCATTGGGGCCATGGGAACAAAAAACAGCTCGAGAACAAAAGCTTCTTAGCTTCATTGATCTTTCTTACTTCCTTGATTCGGTCCATCGCCGATATCTTCATCATCGTCGTCGTCTTCACCGACGTCAACAACCCTGTCGCTCACATTCTTGAGCACGCGAGCACTCAGCTTCTGAACAAATTTCCAGATGCCCACGAGAAACGTGAATGCGCCAATGAGTACAAAAATGAGGTTGATGTTCTCGACACGGTTTCGGCCAGTGCCTCCTCTCCTCCCACCACCACCTGCCACGCCGCTACTTCGGATCTGCCACCAACTGAATGGAGACACAGTAAGCATCGTCTTAAATAACCCGACAATTCCTAGGGAGAAGAAGCCCTTGACGAAGTGCTCGAACCAAGAGGTTGGTAACTGTGGTGGAGGTTGTCTCAAGGCTTCGATATCTGTGACCACGCTTGTGACAGTTTCGCCAATTGTTCCAATTGGGTCGGACCAAAGATCAAAGAGGGGATCTGCAATAAATCCGAGGACAAAAATGCTCAGTATACAGAACCAGACGGTCAAGGCAACCTGCGCCCACTTGCTGCTCAAAACGGAGCCCCAGTGGAGTCGAGAAATGCGATACGTAAACTTGCAAGTCGGGCACTGCCAGTAGTTCCTCGCTTCCATGGGATTTGCGAGTCTCCAGGCGTTGAGACATCCTTCATGAACATATTTCTGCGAACCCTTACACTTGCATGGTGATAGCAACCTTCCCAGTTCGGGATCGTCGGAGACGTATGTAGGCCGAGATGAACCTGTAGGAATACCAAACGTCGTTGACTGTTCAGGAAACCTGGGCTCTTCAGTGTCGAGACATATGCGACATGTGCGCGGGCCGTAACACCTCTGCCTCGGCGCGCTTCGGGACTCCTGGTTAGAGGTAGTATCGGGCTTTGGAGCAGATGCCCATCGCGTTGTAGGCTCCGATGTCGCTGCACGTGGCTCTGGTTCAGGCTGTCGAGCAGAATTATCCCCAACCGAGGACCAATCCCAAGTAGGGCGCGTCTCCATGATGAATTACGTGAACCTGTGGAAGTAAAGAGAGGTAAGGGCAACAGCAGTAGGCGATAGAATCACAGTAGAAATGTGCTAAAGGCGAGGGCCGTGGAGGCGTTTCAGGCGCAACCTACATGTTTTTGCAAAGCTCAAATGTCAAGAAGAGCAGTAGGAGAGCGGGGGAAACACCTGGCCGCCCGCCAAGATTGTAACGAGTAGGTAAGTCACCCCAGATATGGAGAGGCCAGCTCAGCCTCTTTTTCTTGCGAGAGAAGATGGAGGAAGGAAGCCGAAATAGCCGATACCAAGCTCGCACGAAGAAAGCTGCTTTGTGTGTGGAGTCTCTGGAACTTGGCGCGGTCCGGGAAAAGGATGATCCCGAGAATATGAGGATCTAGGTAATTTTGGTTGCAGGATGGATGAAGAGAACTGATGGAGGAATCTAGAGAGTTTGAGTAGAAGTTAGAAAATTGCTTGTATATAAATATTTCCTCGACTGAAAGTCTAATAAACAGCCTTTACGAATGGCATGATATGAAGTTTAAGATCTGGCAACTTGACTCCGTTGACCGGCGATCGGATAATCTGTTGCCCCGCATTCAGAGCTCCCAGCGGTTGAGCTCGACGCGCAGCTGGGCCTGCCTAGAGGCTACAGCTGCTTTGGCCAAACACCAGAGCTCCAGTTGCAGCCTTGCTTGATATCTCCTCGTCAACCCCACGAATCCATAACCGCCCATAATTCAACACTCACTTCTTTCGTAACGATTCCATCGAAGCAGGAACTTGAGCGATGGCGGACCGATACTCCTTCTCTCTCACAACCTTCTCCCCCAGGTATGTTTCGGTGACGACACTGTTGATATGCGAGCATCATCACTGACAACGTTATAGTGGAAAGCTGGTGCAGATTGGTACGTAATTGCTGGTGTATCTTCGATATGCTTTGCGTATTGAAGTTTCATGGCCAAATCAAGTTTTGGAACTAATTTGACGAAATAGAGTATGCCCTCAATGCTGTAAACCAGGGTATCACTGCCCTTGGCATCAAAGGTTCGCGCTCTCTCCAGCATCTCGAACCGAGCTCCTACTAACCTGCACAAGCCACCAACGGTATCGTTCTTGCCACCGAGAAGAAGTCATCATCCCCTCTGGCCGACCAGAGCTCCCTCTCCAAGATCAGCGACATCACCCCCAACATCGGTATGGTGTACTCTGGCATGGGCCCTGATTATCGAGTATTGGTGGACCGAGCACGCAAGGTTTCGCATAGCGGCTACAAGCGCATCTACAACGAGTACCCCCCTACCAGAATATTGGTGCAGGATGTCGCCCGAGTGATGCAGGAGGCCACGCAATCCGCCGGTGTTCGACCTTATGGTGTGAGTCTGTTGGTTGCTGGTTGGGATGAGGGCATTGAACCTGAGGAGGAGAGCAAGACCACCGAGGAGAGCGAGGAGAAGAAGGTCAACCGAAAGACTGGTGGTATTCACAAAGGCGGTCCCATGCTGTACCAGGTCGATCCTTCTGGCAGTTACTATCCATGGAAGGCTACAGCCATTGGCAAGAGTGCAACAAAGGCCAAGACATTCTTGGAAAAGCGATACTCGGAGGAGCTCGAGCTTGAGGATGCCATCCACATCGCGCTGTTGACCCTGAAGGACAACATCGAGGGTGAGATGAACGGTGACAGCATCGAGATTGGTAAGTTTTCGAAAAGAGCCGAGAATGAGAGCCTTGCTAACATGTTGCAGGTATTGTTGGTGCTCCCGCAGACCATCTTCTGGGCCTTGAGGGTGTTGATGGGGCTGTCGGACCCCGTTTCAGAAAGCTGACCCCTCAAGAGATTGAGGATTACCTGACGAGTCTATGATTGCCCTTATGCAAATGATCACAACGAGAAGCATTGTACAATAGAGGGTCATTGGGCTCACTAGAGCTGGTTCCGATAGAAGAGCAGCTTGTTATGAGCTTTGAGATTGCTTTACCTTTTCTGTGACTATGAATGATGATCTGGGGCCAGCCTCAACGGCAACAATTGCCCAACCCTCAGGGGGCGTGAAATCGATCTTGATCCATGATAAAATTGGATCTTGAGCATCTTTCCCAAGACCAATTTGGCCATTTGTGTTACTCCCTATTATGTAGATGTAACCATCAGTCGTAAGAGCAATGGCATGTGATTCTCCGAGTCCGATATCCTGCACGTCTTTGTCTCCATCAACCTCGAAGTAGTTCGGTAACTCGGTGATATCTTGAAATACGTTGTGTCGGCTGTGTGAGCCAGGGGCTGCCATACCCCAGAGATACAGTCCGCCACTCTCTGTCAAAGCTGCAGCTGTGTATCCCGCTGCTGCAATCTTCTTGATAGGCTCGCCGAGATCACTCAGATCTTGTATCACTCCAGGTTCGTTGGCAGGGCTAGCAATGCGATCAGTATGGTCTTTTCACCTTTGTTCATGTATACTGACGAGGACTCGTCCACTTCACGGCCGAGGCAGTCTCGGAATCGTGGGTCACCGCAGCTTAGGACGGTCCCATCCTCAAGAAGAATAATGAAGCCGGCGTCGTAAGCTTTTATCTGGCGGACAGCAGATTTGCAAGACCAGGAACCGGTACTCTTGTTGGCTTTCCATGCTGCCAAAGACGAATACTGAACAGTGGCGTGATTTAAGGATGAACAGTCCGAGTCCTGAGCAGCTAAGACCTTTCCATCCCCTGAAACAGCACTTGGAGAGTTGAATAGAAGTCCTTGGCTATCCTCACGGTGAAGAAGCTGGCCAGGGGATGATCCAGCGATGGCCCAAGTTGTATCTTGTTGAGCTTCAAAGTGTTAGAAAGTACCTAGTCCACGCCCATGTTATAGTAGAAGGAAATACCTACCCACAGTGTAGCTCAGTTCTGAAGCAATTCTTCCAATCGACTCGGCTGCCAATACTTTTGTGAAAGTGAATACATCGTCAGGCTCTTCGTCGGCTGGCGAAGGGTCGAATGTGAGTTGGTTCCACGCATTGAAGCCGGTTGCGTATAGCTCCATGGTTTGGTCTGAGGAAGGGGTTCGTACTGGGAGATCCATGGCCATCTGTGATTTCAGTATATGTAACGGGTGGTAGAGCAAGTTTGGATATTGATGGTTCGTAAAAGAGCGTCTCTGGTTTGGCAGTGGCAGGGTGAGGGTTAAGGTGCGATGAAAGCCTGTGGCTACTCAAGATGAATATCGTCACTTGATCACTGGGAAGCCACTTCAGACCAAAATGAATGAAAGACAGAGTGGAAAAAGACTGATTGCCATGAGCCTGGAAAGAAAGTTGAACAGAAGAAGAATTCCTACCTACTTTTCTTGGCTTTCTTGCAATCACATTGTGTTCTTGGTGCCTGTTCAGCGTGGCAGTGAGAACGAACAGTGCTAATCTTACCCCTGCATTGGCAAACTATAGAGCACTCCAGTTCTGGAACACCCAATTGCTAGCAGTCTAATGAAGGAAGTGGACATAAAATACAAGGAGAAGTAATTAATGATGTAGGAAAATAGCATTTGTTATTATACTTGACTTTCTAGCAGTGATTCCGGAGTGACGGGGAGGTTATTATCTCCTGATTCGGGTCGGCAGTGCCAGATACACAATTGCTAATCTGCGCATTCAGTCCCTCCCTCCACCCTCTCGAGTGTGAATCAGTGCTTCCTACACCAACAATTCTCGGTGGGCCTCCCACCATCTCTCTTCATTAAACTTCTCCTTCTTTGATATACCTTTTTTCCTTTTTCCCTTCTTATGCTGCTGAAAGCAAAGCACTACCCGCAAACCTTCTGTCGTTCTTTAGCTTTCCACCAGCCACTCTTCTACGTGAAGACAGCTTCACCAAAGTGCATCAGAATACCCCAACACTTGGCTCGCCCAAGACTTCAAAATTGCTATTCAGTACTCCCCCATGATAAGAAAATGATGGAAGTCGATGAAGAGCAGTCTCCCAACAGCGGGAGTGCAGACTCCTCGCGGTCGGAGAGTCCTGCTACCGCCTCGACACCATCACCAATGATCGAGGTCGAAGAAACAGTTACCATTCTCCCTACAGACAATGCCCTGAATGGCAAGAAAAAGGCCTCAAACAAGTCCAAAGATGTTCCTCGAGTCCCGGACATCATCAAGCCTCGTGCCTACCAGCGAGAGATGCTGGAGCAGAGCCTGAGGAGGAATGTCATCGTTGCGGTAAGCACCTCCAGGCATCTTGATTTTGAATCATATCGTTTAACAGTTATCAGATGGATACGGGCAGCGGAAAGACCCAAGTGTATGTTTATAGCAGAGTGTTCTTGCAGTGAGACGTTGACTGAACACTACAGTGCCGTTCTTCGCATTCAAGCGGAACTCGACAAATGTTCACCTGACAAGGTTCGTGGATCAATGAATAAACCGATGGCAGGTCACTAACTACCTATGTAAAGCTTGTGTGGTTCTTGGGTAAGACCGTTGGCCTTGTTGAGCAACAGTATAATGTCATCAAAGGACAAATGCCATCGGTGCCCATGAGACTGCTTACGGGGCAGCTCAACATCGATGCATGGTCGCCAGGGGTTTGGCCCCAAATTCTCGAGGGCACTCGCATCATCGTATCCACATTCTCCATCTTGCGGGATGCTCTTGACCACGCCTTTGTCACAATGGACATGCTCGCTTTAATAGTAGTTGACGAAGGTAAGTGGCTGTTCGCCTTACAATCACTCTTGTTAACCAGCGGCAGTCCATAATTGCGTCAAGAACAACCCTGGGCGGATGATCATGATGAACTTCTACCATCGACACAAAAACGCGGGTATGCCAGTACCAGCCATACTTGGCTTGACTGCCAGTCCCATCATCTCATCAGATCTTAAGGAGATCGAGAAACTAGAGAATACGATGGACGCTATCTGTGTTACTCCGACCATTCATCGAGAGCAACTGCTAAAGCATATCAACAAGCCTCACCTTGTTCGCTCACTCTACAATGCTACGAAGATCCCTCCCCGTACGCCACTGATGCAACAACTGCAATCAGAATACTCGAATATGGATATCTCAAAGGATCCTGAAGTTCTTAAGTTAAAGGCCCTTGTCGCTGATGATGAAAAGAAGCGGGAAAAGTTTATGAACCTGATTATGAAGCACGACACCTTCTCGCAACAGCAAATCAAGGGCCTCTGGAACAAGAGCAGAGAAATCCTTGCCGAACTTGGAAGCTGGGCAGCAGACTATTACATTTCAAAGATGATCAAGAACTTCCTTGGTAGAATCGACGGGAACGTTGCTTTCACTGATGCGTGGTCCAACGAGGACAGGACCTATCTAGCAGGGCACTTGCGCCGAATCAACATTGGTGTCGTTGACGACTCACCACCAACCGAGCACACCATCTCGCACAAAACTAGCCGATTGATCCATGAGCTTCTTGAGGCCAAGAACGATGTGGTTGGAGTCATTTTTGTCAAGGAACGAACTGCAGCGCATACGCTTTGCAAGCTTCTGAACAACTACCCCCCCATCGCAGACCGTTACAAAGTCGGCACAATAGTCGGGGCTTCGAGCTACGGACTCCAGAAACAGAAGGTCTATGAGTACCCCATTGACTCTGAGAAAGTACTCGTGGATTTTAGATCAGGGGCTATCGATCTCCTGGTGGCTACTAGTGTCTTAGAAGAAGGCATTGATGTTCCCGCATGCAACCTAGTTGTGTCCTTCGACGAGATTGCTACCCTCAAGTCATTTATCCAGCGCCGCGGACGAGCTCGCATGCCAGAGTCCAAGATGATTGCCTTGCTGAGCTCAAGTGCAGACACACGCGCCTGGGAAGACCTGGAAGTAGGCATGAAGGAACGTTATGAAGATGACCAACGAGAGTTGGATCGATTGAACCAACAGGCATGGGCTGAGGATATTGATTCTACCTACTATATCGTGAAGAGCACAGGAGCACGGCTCGACCTCCACAATGCTCGACAACACTTGGATCGCTTTTGCCGGGTTGTTTTTCGCTCGGATTTTATCACCCAGCTCCCTGAATACGTCTTCCACAAAGAAGAGACTCCATACGGTGGGCCGATCTTGAGAGCTACGGTCACTTTGCCGGGAGGGTTGCCGCTGAATCTTCGCACGTTCAAAAGTGCTTGTGGATGGAAATCTGAACGGAATGCCATCAGAGATGCCGCTTTTCAGGCATACGTCGCTTTGTACGAAGCTGGGCTGGTCACAGATAACCTTGCCCCCATCAATGCTAAGTCAGAGAAGGTGGAAGAAAAAACAGACCTGATACCGGAGCCCCTATTCGACCCCTGGGTCCAGATCGCCCAACGCTGGAAGTCGGATTGTGACAAGCAAGTCTACTTGTTCGATTTTAGCGATGACGAGTTTGACCGCCCTTGTCCATTTTACGTCATTTTACCTGCTCTAATTGACCTGCCTCGAGATATCACGTTATATCCTGGGAATGGCTCTGAGTGGTCCATTGTATGCCGTTCGGTCGACGACATACCCGATGAGGTATCTTCAAACAATCCTGATATAACTTCTGCTCTCTTGGCGATGAACTTTCAGTACCGCTGGACGGTCGAAGATCGCGAGCATGTCATCAAGATGTCCTTGGAGAGTACATCCATCTTCCCTCCCCCTCACGTCACCCGGGATTGTATGGCTGCATATCCCTTCCGCGGAGCAGGGGAAGAACAGGCCAAGAAGCACAGAGTTCTCGTGCGGGACCAACTTAACAAGCCGTTTCACTACGTCCGCACGATTCCGTCAAGACCTAGAAAGGACGATGTGCAACGCCCATTCTATGGGTATGACGACGCAGAAGAGCATGAGGAGTATCTGGTTCTGGAAACATGGGGTGCCCGAAACGATTTACTTCATGTTTTAAAAGATGTTCAGCCCAAGTCAAGCACTAAGCCGTACGAATACGTGCTTCCCATTTCTCAAGCCCGTGTTGATAAGGTTGGAAGACGAGTCGTCAAGTGCGGTCTGTTCATTCCACATATCATACATGAGCTAGAGGTGCATCTTATTGCTTCTGAATTATCGTCTACACTTCTGAAGCCAGTTGGCATCGAGAATTTGCAGTTGGTGCTCGAGGCCATAAGCTCACCTAGTGCTTGTGAGCCTGTTGACTACCAGAGACTTGAACTTTTGGGCGATTCGATTTTGAAGTTTTGCGCCGTCACTCAGGCTTATTCTGAACGTAAGTAGCCCCCCTTGTTATGGAGGTCGATACACTAACTGTCACAGACCCGACCTGGCCCGAAGGCCTTCTCAACCATTTCAAAGATCGACTCGTATCCAACGAACGTCTCCAACGAGTGTGTCTTGAGAAAGGCCTCTCAAAGTTCATCCTTTCCAAGAGTTTCACCGCCTCGAGATGGAGGCCACTCTATCTTGATGACATTCCCAAAGAAAAGTTTCCCCCTCGACCCACCCCAACGCGGGGATCGAAGACCTTAGCCGATGTTGTAGAAGCACTTATTGGAGCCTCTTACCAAGACGGAGGGATGACCAAGGCCCTTAAGTGCATTTCAGTCTTTTTGAGCGGCAAGTGTAACTGGCATCAAGAAGGTGTGGCTAGAGACATTCTCTTTGCTGCCGCTCCTAGCGACGTTAAGCTTCCCAGTATTCTTGAACCCCTTGAAGACCTGATCAAGTATAAGTTCACAAAGAAGTCTCTGCTGATCGAAGCAGTTACTCATGCTTCTTATGCTACAACCATGCACGAAAGGTCCTACGAGCAGCTCGAGTTTCTGGGGGATGCTGTCCTGGATTATATCGTTGTCACCAAAATGTTTCGGCACGATCCACCAATTCCCACTGGTCGCCTTCATATGATCAAAACGGCCATTGTGAATGGAGAGTTCCTTTCATTCGTGAATCTAATCAACTCTGTCCACCGAGAAGATGTGGAAGTTAATCGGAAAGGTCAGATTGAAACCAAAACTACTGCACTTCCACTTTGGAAGTTCATGAGGTTTAATTCTTCCGAAATGGCAAATGCCATGGTAAAAACGGAAGAGAGATTCGAGTCCATGCGAGCGCAGCTTGCCACGGCTTTGTGGGGTGATGGGCACGAACCCAGCGGTGATGGCCCATACCCTTGGGTACTCCTCGCACGCCTTCAGCCCCCCAAGTTTTTTTCGGATATGTTTGAAGCTATTCTCGGTGCCGTATGGGTTGACTCTGGGTCGATTGAAGAATGCACGCGTGTTCTTGAAAGATTTCAGGTAATGAAATATCTGGAGTTTGTTTTGAAGAACGACATACACGTTCAGCATCCCAAAGAGCAGCTCTCCAAGTTCGCTTTTGCAACGAAAATGAAATACACCACGACCGAGATAAAAGAGCCCGAGCCTCAATGGAGTTGTGAACTCACAATTGGAGAGCGTTTGATAGCAGAAGTCGAAGGTTCATTCAACAAAGTTGAAGCTATGGCCAAAGCTGCGGAGAAGGCGATTCGACTTTTGACAGGAGAGATGAATGCAGTCGATCAGCAACAAGATGCCATGGACACCTCGTAGGAAGGGGATCAGGAATGCGCCTCACTGAGAGATGACCTTGCACAGAAACAGGATGAGGTCTCGGCCGATACTTTGCCAGAGAAGGAGTCCACAGATCATCCAATGAAAGGCACCCTAACTGACAATCCGGAGGACAAGGATCCAGTCGTTCTTTCAAAGAGAGAGAGCAAGACGAAGTCGTTGATTGAGTCACCCAAGAACGAGAAACCGAAGCATTTGGCCGCCCACCCAAAGGAAGTGAGTTTAGCTCATGGACCCATAGAGGAAGATTGGATCGATTTCTCGGAAGATGAGATGTCAGTCGACCATCCAAAGGAAGTAGGTTTAGGCTGTCATTCCATGGAGGAGGATTTGATTGAGTTCTCAGACGACGAGACGTTGGACGGCCGTCCAAGTAAAAAGAGACCAGTTGACGTTTCAGAAGATCCCGAGATAGCTGATCTTCCAGAGAAGCAGAAGTTTAAGAGATTTTGAGGCAAGAGGATTCTGGAACTCATTTGGAGAAGGTAGATCAAGAAGGATAAGACTAGACATTGCTTGCAGATACCTAGATAGATACCCTAGCTCGTCTATACTTGCTTTCCAAGCTCTTCTAAGATCGTGTTTACTGTCCACTCAAATGTCTTCTCAATATCTCCGTCAGCACTCACATCACTCTGTACCTTTATGCCCTCCTTATCCAAAACATCCGTCTTGAACTTGCCCTCTACATCGCCATCCTCAAACATCCAAGCGTGCTCCTCTACATAGTTAGGCCATACGATCTTATCAACGTAACCAGGAGGGTCTGCCCAGAAGCCCTCCAGGGTGACATATCCGTCTCTGGCTTCTCTTCTCTTCTTAGCCTTCTCGTATGTTGTGCGTAAGAAGAGTTTGATGTCCAGATTGGGCTTTATAGCAGCCATAGAAGGAGAGTAGAGAAGAAAGCCATCGAGGAGACACAGACGGAGATTTTTGCGGAGGGGGTGGTCTGGGCCTAGAGCCGCATCGACTTTGGCTCGTTGAGCGGCGATGCTGGCTTCTGACACGGGGCACTTGCCCACAGAGTTTTGATCTTCTTTGGAATCAAGGGTAGGCTGAGGATAAAGTCAGGCATAAAGATCATGAGTAAAGACACAGGACTTACAGGAAAGGCAGCGTGTTGGCGGATATAAGCGAGGGACTCGGCCATGGCCGGGATGTCGAGGGCCTCAGCACAGTCCCAATCTAAGAGACCGTTTTTGGTGGGTAGCCTATAGAAGTTAGACACAGCTCATGTCAAAATATTGTTTGTATCATACTCATTCTCAGGTCTATAAAAGTCATCCTCATGAAGGATGAAAGTATTGGGGAAAATGTCCCGCAGTAGCCGTGCAAGGGTTGTTTTCCCACTCGAGGAGCACCCCGAGATGCCGACTATGAGGGCCTTATTTGCGGTCATGATGCCAAGATATCAGCAGTTGAGATACATATGTTGTGTAATGTTGGACTGGTCGTGAGTTTGACGTCGGCAAAGTGCGGGAGGATCACAAGGCACACACGCACGCACGCATATGCCAGGGAGGGTTTGATAGTGGCGCTCAGCCGCTAACGATGGAAATACAGGGGTTATTATCGGACTTTGATCTACGAGACAAGGTTCAACGGACTTGGCATCATTCTCAAAACGTAAACTATTGAATTTATCGTCTTGTTAGTGAAATAGACTAAAACTAAAACCTCCTGATTTTTTAGATCAGGAGTAAAACAGTCACGCGATCGATGGTCGTTGCGATACCCTCGCACAATCACAATCCAAGATCGCCATTGTCTTTCCCCGTCGAGTCTAGCCCAAGATATTACAAGAGACGAACCACAGCCGTGAGACGTAGCATTGGGTCAACCGATTTGCTGAGAGAACATCAACGTACGGCGATTAAATAAACATGTCTCTACGTGCGACAACACCTTACTATCATTGGTAGCGTCTACATTCCCTTGCGGGATATGCCAAGAGCTGCACTATAATTTACTGCAATTAGACTTAGGCTTAGATTTAGACTTGATTTTTGTCCGCCATCAAAGGGGGCAAGTTTGAAGCAAGGGAGAATGTATTTGTGTAAGTCGATGCCAACAAAGAAATGTCCATTTCGCTTCTGTTCTTCATGATAGCGACCGTCTCTAGCCTCTGTCTGTCCATGTCCCCTCTGCTCATGTTTGCTTCTTCCCCCTTCTCGCCTCTAATCTCAGCTCGCATACTCCCCAAGCGTGCCAAGTCCGCCATCATGCACTTATAATTCGATTCCGAGTCATATACCAAGATTCCAACAAATCGAATTGGTTATCTTGCCCAATAATTCGCAGCCGACACATACCAGACGCCTCTCCCGTGTGCTCTCCCTTGAAGGCAACATTTCCCCTTTATATAGCACTACCCAGAGGTTTTAATCATGGGGCAGCATTCCCGGCTACTGCCCCAAGCAACAATGTTGAAGCCTTCAAACTCCTCCTTCATGGAAAAGACTCTGCCCCTGAGGAATAGGGTGGCAGACAAGATCGAGTGGGTGAAACTTCGTACACCAAAGGTTGTCAAATCGAGAGCATTTCGAAGAGCGGCGACAATTACATCCGCTGTGTTCTTTGCTCTCACATTCATTATTGTTTTGGCAAAATTGACGAATGCGGGTCTCTTTATACCAAAACTTGTCAGCCATATCTCGAGATATCCCACATGTCAGAGCAAGGGGATCAATGGAACAAGAGACATATGGGAAGCTTCACAGAAGAAGTACGAGAACCTGAGGGACGATAAATTTACGTACGTTTCTTGACCTATTCGGTCTCATTGGTAGAATGCTGACAGTGATTGTGTTCCAGAATTGCCATGCAAACGTATCGTCGACCGAAGGAACTCCAAGAAACGCTCAACATCATCCTGAGCGAGGAAGTTCCCTCACTTCTCGAAATAGTCGTCGTCTGGAACGACCTTGAGAACTATCCCCCAGATGACTACGTTTCAAAACACGGAGTGCCCGTCCGATTCCGAAAGTCGAAGCGCAACAGTCTCAACGAAAAGCTCTGGCCCGATCCCGACTACAAGACACAAGCGATTCTGCTCTCAGACGACGATGTCTACTATCACCCGAGCGATCTCGAGTTCGTCTTCCAGACATGGCGCAAGTTTGGCAGGAATCGAATGGTCGGTGCTCTCGCTCGATGCACGCCCGTCGATACGTTTGGATACCACAAGTACACGTTCTGCTCCAGCAGATGGGGAGAGGATGACTATAACATGATTCTGACCAATCTCGCTTTCTCACATGTGTCGTTCCTCGACTATTACTCTTCCAACGACACGATCATGACACAGATCAGAGAGTATGTCGACGAGGGCTTCAACTGCGAGGATCTTGCCATGAACTACGTCCATGGACTTCTAACGGGCGAAGGGCCTCTTCTCATCAATGGACATGAGAAATATGTCAACTTTGTTCCGAAAGTTGGAATCAGTATGAAGAAGGGTCATATGGAGGCCCGAAGTGCCTGTCTGAACGACTTTTCCAAGATGTTTGGATGTCACCCCTTGGTCGACGAGACCGGATACATCCAACGAGGTGTATTGGTAATGTGAGATATTTCAGAAATAATATGTCATTTTGAGCGGTTTGAATCGTAACGAAGCGAGTCTCATGTGAATAGTGTATAACAAGACGGGACAAGGACCAGAAAGTTGGTTGAACAGTTAACTAAGGTAAGGTTAGTAGGTAGAGTTCTAGCCGGCTGCACCGGGAGCATTGTATCGTGGTAATTATCAATTTAACGAATAATTTGAAAATTGAAACGACAGATAAGAAAGTCAAGCAATGAAACAACCTGAAAACATGATCTTGGCCAGACTTTGAAACGCCCATGAAATCGGTTTTCAGCGATCCTCGATGCTGCCCCACGTGATGTAACCAACGTCAACCTACAGCACTTGGATCCATCACCAAAACCACTAAAAAGAGCATCACAACGTCAAATCCTCGCCCTCACCCCCAACCATGGCGATGAACCCAGGCGAGCAAACAGGAGTAATCATCTCCACGGCCGTCGTGGCCCTCCTCACAGGTTACGCTTTCGGTATCTATACTATCCGAGGCTACCTCATCCCACCCTCTCTTTTCGAGGAGCGTCGGCGCAACATACACGATCCTATCGAGAGTGACGAAAGCGATATCGACGAGGATGACACTATCCTCGACCATGCGCCCAATTGGGCTAATGGCGCTGACGCCGATAAGAAGCAGGGTTTGAAGAATGCTGAGAAGGAGAAGGAGCCCGTTATCAGGGACAATGGAGAGGAGTGCAAGCTTATCCTTGTTGTGCGAACAGATCTGGGCATGACAAAGGGTACGTTACCACGCTTACAATTGAAACCCTCTATGCAGAGTGCTAACAGTATGTGTTGTAGGAAAAATCGCTGCTCAATGCTCCCACGCTACCCTCGCATGCTACAAGACCCTCTCCCGCGCCCCCGCCGACTCTCCCCTGTCCAAGATCCTCAAGCGCTGGGAACGTCTCGGCCAGGCCAAGATCGCCGTACAAGTCAAGAGCCAGGACGAAATGCTCGAGCTTCGACGCAAGGCCCGGTCTCTCGGGATCACAGCTGAGGTTATCCAGGATGCTGGCCGAACACAGATTGAGGCAGGCAGCATGACAGTGCTGGGCATTGGACCTGCCCCTAGAAGCCTTGTTGACCAGGTCACCGGCGGACTTAAGTTGCTGTAAATGGTGAGAGACTCGAAAAGAAGAAAAAAAGATTTTGGGGATACACGAAGGCACGCACGGGATTACGAATTGGGTCGGATATGTAAAAGTACTGCACTATAGATATACACATGGGAATTTGATAGACAAACCCGCATTTTTCACTGGAAAGAAGCTTGTTTTCTGTGATAAAGGGTATTATTCGCATTTGTACATCCAACTCTATTGCTCTTTTTTCGCAAATCTCGCCAACGCCGGTCCCAGATCCGCTTCCGCCTCGATCTGCTTCTTGTCCTTCTTTGCCTGCTGCTCCTTCCAGATCTCGTCCACCTGCAATCTCTTGTCGTCGATAATGTTCTTCTTTCGCTGCTTGCGCAGATACTTCTTGAGCGCGCCGTTCTTGCCTCTTGCTCGCTTGCGGATCTCCTCGGCGATATCTGTGGCTGGTGTGTCGAGATCCTTCTCTGCACGGCGCTGCTTGTCGGATCGCAGATCCAAGTTTCCAATGTAGTTGGGGTCCAGGGCGATCATGTCGGGCTGAAGCTTGTTCAGCAGACCCTTGACTTCGGATTCTTGTCGTTGCTTGGCTGTCTCGAAGGGGTTGACCTCCAGTGCGTCATAGTTGGCCTCACCAGCGCCAGGGACGATGATGGAAGAAAAGCCTGAATCGTGGCCGAGACCGAGAACATCTTCGAAGGGGCACCAGCGCACGCGCTCAATGCGCTTGCCCTCACCACCCCAGGCCATGTAGGGACTTTGGACCTTTTCTTGAACAGGGGCATTCTTGTCGAAAAGACCCTTCCAGATTGTTGTCTGAGTACCCCATCCAACAGCTGTCAAGCCAGTATCTGAAATCGCCAGCGAAGAAGCAGGCTGGCGTGTGAAGTAGTTATTGACCTCTCGGAACATTCTCAGATCCCAGACTGCCATCTTCTGATCCTGACCTGCTGACACCATGTATCGACCTTCACGGTCAATGGCCAAGTCTCGTACGGGTCCCCGATGCGCTAACAATTTGACAAGAGGATCCTGGGTGTTGGGCGACCATAGCGTAACTGTTCCGTTCTGGTGGCCGACATGTAGAATAGCGTTCCAGGGGTTCTGCTTGAGGGAGCATGGTTGGCCTAATCGGGTGGGAATTTCGGCGACTAATTGACCTGTTGACGTATCCTGATATTTTAGGAACCCGACAGAGCCCTGACACTATTAGTTTTGTATGTAGTAAGTGGGAAAGGTGAAACTCACAATTGTTGCTAATAGGTAGTGGTATGGCAGAAACTCCATATGAGATACCTCCTGGTGTTTCCTCAAAGTGTGCAGTTCCACGCCATTGTGATCGTAGATATAAACGTACTTCTTTTGCGCAACAGCAAAGTACTGATTATTGTGTAGCCACTTAATATCCCTCACGGTCTCACCCAGCTGCAATTCGCAACCAAGCTTGCCCTCTCGCCAGTCCATCGTCGCAACATGACCCTTTCGACCACCGAGCAACAGGTCCCGCCCATTCCTCGAGTAGTCGAAGTGATATGGTCCCAGGTCGTCCAACTTGAGCTCGAATCGCTTTTGCGCAGTCCCCACAGCAATATCCGAAGTAATATCGTCTTGTCGGACTTTGTATGTTCGTTCGAGCTCGTCCTCAGCTTCGAGAAAGCCAGATGTGTTCTCGAGCAGAATCTCGGCGTCTTTGGCTTTCAGCGCAGCATCCTGGTACTTGCCCTCAAGGCGCTTCATGTTGCTTCGAAGCTTCTTATCCTTGATGGCTTTGATGTTGACCTTCTTCCCTCGACCGTAGGCTTTGTGTGCTTCTCGGATTCGACGAGCACGTTCTCGCTCGTGACGAGGAACGAGTTCTGTTCTGGCGCCTTGAACGGCGAGTGCGCCATTGTCGCGCACCTTTGAAGAGGGCGCATCAACTGTGTCGACCTCCATATTTTTGTATTGTCAACGCGCTCAACTGGAAGAAAGGCAACTTTGAATTGGATGGCAGATGGATTGGCATACAACTTTCCTTATCGACAAAAAAATTCACCGCTTATCGTGCTGAGTCTATTGGATGCGATGCTCCACTCTTTGTTGACAGAATAAAGTCCTCCGAGTACTTGGTTCAAAGTGAAGCTCACGGACATAAAGTATCATCCTCATAAAGGATTATTAAACTTGTATTAATTTAATATGATAAAACGAAGTATCTCTTTGGTTTTGATATATATAATAACTAAATCAATTACTACTAAGTCTGTACCTAGGAGACTCACGCCTATCTAACAATCAGGGTTCTTTATGTCATCCACTAATACGCCACTATCGATAGGCACAAAAATTATTTTGGATTTAACCCCGCCATCACCGCCTAAGAATATCGAGGATATTGCCATCATTTTGCCTACAATTCGTACAGAAATCTCAATTCGATATTTCTGTCCCTCAATCTGGCTTCGTTACCATTTCGATTCAAAGCCGGTGGCGAGAGCAAAATGCCCGTCGCTGTGGCTCATTCCCATAGGCCAACCACAAAGGTTACACACAAGGCCTTCAAGTCACGGGCTGCTTCTAAGCATGAGTTGAGAGACCGCGCAAAGGGTAAGACTCTCGAAATTTTGGTATTTCTCCAATTCTGACACAAACACAGGTCGAGTTGCCGACGAAAAGGGCAACAGAAAGACTCCTCACCAACAAGTCATGTCTAAATTCGACCGACGAAACCAGGCCAAGCAGGCCCGATTGAACAAGCACAAGGAACATGTCAAGGAAACCTCTGTTTTCGCTGGAAAGGATGGCGCTCCTCGACATGTCGCCGTAATTCCTCTTTGCGCTGGAACCGATCTTAACGCTGCGATCAAGCAGCTGAACAACAGCGTCGACATCGAGGACAACACCGACAGTGGCAACTACCGAGTCACAGTCGACCGTTTCAAGCAAAAGTTACAATACATCCCTATCGAGCGAGACCTGAACGCCTGTCTCGACGCTGCCCGTGTCGCCGATTTCGTCATTGTCGTTCTGTCCGCCAACGTTGAGGTTGATGAACTTGGAGAGTTGATCTTGCGAAGTGTTGAGAGTCAGGGCATGTCCACCCTCTTCACTATCGTTGAAGGTCTTGACAAGGTTGAGCCCGCGAAGCAGCGACAAAGTGTTTTAGTCTCCCTCAAATCTTTCATCACACATTTCCACCCCGAGCAAGAGAAGCTTTACAGCATCGAGAGCCGACAAGATTGTGCCAACCTCATGCGATCACTCTGCAGCACAACACCAAAGGGCATTCGATGGAGAGACGAGAGGAGTTGGATGCTTGCGGAGGATGTCAAGTTCGCCTACTCCGAGTCCGACTCGACAGTTATCACTGGTGTTGTCCGAGGCAAGGGCCTCAAGGCCGACCGTCTTATTCAGGTTGGCGACTGGGGAACCTTCCAGATTGAAAAGATTGAGGCTGCTCCTCTGCCCAAGCAGATCAAGAAGAAGGGAGAGGAGATGACCGTTGACCCCGAAGAGGCTGGCAAGCTTCTGGAGGAGCCTTCTGAGGATCGTGATGACTTGGTGGAGCTGGCTCCTGAGGAGGTCATGATGGACGACGCTGATGACGCTATGGCAACTGATGCCACTGAGAAGAAGGGTGTTCTTCTGGATGATCACCACTATTTCTCAGATGAGGAGGCTGAGGCAAGAAAAATCAAGAAGAAGGTTCCCAAGGGTACATCCAACTACCAGTCAGCTTGGTATCTGGAGGATGTCTCTGACTCGGAGTCCGATATGGAGGACTTCGAGATGAAGGATGAGGCTGGCGAGGAGGAGGCCCGCCCTGAGGACGGTCTTGAGGGTTATGCCCCTGCACCCGGCACTGAGGGTGCTCCCTCAGAATATCCTCAATCGGAAATGATGATT